TTAAAATTAATAATATATTTAAAAATATATAAAATATTTATAAAAAAAGATTAAACAAACAGCTGACGGCAGCCATTGATTTATGGGGGGAAAAAATACAATGCATTCCTCAAAATATCATCTTTTGTTCTCAATAGCTGAAAGAAATTCTTACAGGTGTGGAAAAAATAAATGATGAGAGAATTTTCATTTTTGGATGAAATATCTCTTTAAGTGGCATCTTTCTGCAAGAAGAACTAGTTCTGACATGTAAACAAGTAGTTAGCTGTGCTGTGATATATGCTGTAGCTAATGCATATTTTATGTCTCAGCAGTTATATCATGTCTGGAACTATATACAGTATTAGACACACGTAACTATGCCATCCATATCACAGCGCTGTCAGTGAACCGACCTGAATCTGACTTCAACAGGATGATTACATTACAATAGAACAAACGGAAGCCACTGGAAAACTAAGTGATATGATTCGTGGAACGCTGGTGGATTTCTAGGTCGGTTCAGAAAGTTTGAGTAAACACACCTCTGACTCGACTGCAAGAAAAAAATATATTTAAATCTAACAAACCTGAACGCAGGAAGAACACTAGAATTCCTCACTACATCCCTAACAAACAGGCCTTCATTAAAGTCTAATCAGATCCAAAGCCAAATTTGATTTGAATATTGAACAATGAGACTCTCTCTGTTATATAGTAGAGCTGGCCATTCCTACAGTGGATATAAACTATTAGATCAAACCTTGTCGTATTATTAGTGATGTTTCTAAGAAATCCAAACTGAGAGAAAACAGCAACAAGATGATAGTACAAGAAGAACCGAACAAAAGACACTTTCCCAAAGAGTTCACCTCTCAAAAACAAACTCGCATGTACACAGACCTTGGTCTTCTGGGTCCACAGATCAGATCAATGCTAAAGAGACTCTCTTCAAAGGATCCACACTGGAAAACAAACGCAGACCGATAAACATGCTCCTTCCCAAAATGCATGTCATGTGAGAAAGTTTGAATGTTATCAATTATTGGTTTAGATAGATTAGAGTGATCAGAGTGTTTCAATACAAAAACACTGGGGACGTACTGTATGTGTGAATTTGTAAGCACATGATAACAAGTCAAGACAAGCGGTTTGTTACAGAACCCAAGAGAATCAGAGTTGCCTAAACTATAGATGCGTCAGGAATAAAACCTGTCAAATTATTGTGTGTGTCAAAGGAAATCAATCTATGAACCTTTATGTGAATTTCAGGTGCAGACATAAATTGCCACAGACATTAAAAGATTATTAAAACAATTTCAGGGATATAATATAAAATCTATTGATATATATATAATGGCTCAATATTATTTTAATATGAGGACAGGAAGTTATAAAATACCCAAAGGAGCAAATCTGAGAAATTTTGAACTAGAATGAATCATACAAGCAAACACACAAAACAAACACTAGCATCTCTGTGGCATTGGTTCAGCACTCTGACTCAGCTCTGAATCACACAGACGGATATTGAAGGCTTTGATTCAGCAGGGGTCACATTGATGGCATGAGAGATCAAAAACAACTAGAGTGACTCAGGCTAAAGGCTGTTGTGTGCCGCTGCCACGACCCCTCTCAACCAAGCATGAGGGTTATTGTACCAGCGCTGAAGGGCAAACAGCACTGACACACTCCCACTTGACGCCAAATACAGCGGGAACACAATCCTCTTTCTCTGAAAGACACCAGACGAGATGACGGGAGACCACAGGCCAAAGCCCAACACAGCTGCTTTAACTGCTGTGACTTTGAGAGACTGAGTAACTTAACAATCTTAAATACGAGTGTCACATTTCAGCCCAGAATCATAAGATTAAAAAATGCATTATATTTAGAGCTATTGAGAACTATTCAGTTTTATTATTAACAAACACTAGCATCTCTGTGGCATTGCTTCAGCACTCTGACTCAGCTCTGAATCACACAGACGGATATTGAAGGCTTTGATTCAGCAGGGGTCACATTGATGGCATGAGAGATCAAAAACAACTAGAGTGACTCAGGCTAAAGGCTGTTGTGTGCCGCTGCCACGACCCCTCTCAACCAAGCATGAGGGCTATTGTACCAGCGCTGAAGGGCAAACAGCACTGACACACTCCCACTTGACGCCAAATACAGCGGGAACACAATCCTCTTTCTCTGAAAGACACCAGACGAGATGACGGGAGACCACAGGCCAAAGCCCAACACAGCTGCTTTAACTGCTGTGACTTTGAGAGACTGAGTAACTTAACAATCTTAAATACGAGTGTCACATTTCAGCCCAGAATCATAAGATAAAAAAATTCATTATATTTAGAGCTATTGAGAACTATTCAGTTTTATTATTATTTTTATTATTATTGTTATGTTCATGACAATTAAGCACACTCAAGTAATTAAACTGATATTATTACATTAATGAGAATTGATGTACTTAATAGTATAATAGTAAAATATGTTCATTTTCTTGCTAAATGCAATGCTATATATCTGCAAAATATCAAAATAAAATGCCTCTGAATTCTGGTTAGTAAACCCAATTAAATATATATTGGAGCAAAAAAAAACAACTTCAATTTGGCATTTTTCTAATTTAATTAAAAAAAAGAAGCTAAACAATTTTAGGTAAATTAAAATTAAATTAAAATCTGAAATTTCTTCATTTGAAATTTTTTTTTTTTTAATCCTAGATTTTCAAAGTGGACACATACTTTGAATCCTTCTGTATATCAGACATCAAATGCATCTACAGTATATGTCAGCTCACATATGAGCAGGAGTGTATATGTGGAATTATCTTTTAATAAGAGTACACTGCTGACCTCTAGTGCTTGACATGTTTATTGCATCAACTTAACTCTTGCCTTGAGCTCAAGGATTTCACATTATGATCATTAAACCTTTTTGAACAATACATTTCTTTCACATATTCTCTAGTCTAATCACAGAGATCTTTTCTGATCTACAAGATGAAAAGACAGGTTACGTTTCTATTACAGTGACCTAGAAAAGGCCTGAGAAAGATATAACCAGATATACCCTCTATATCTCTACTGTACCCACGGACAAGAGTCTAAACCCCCGGTTGGTACATTAGATTGCTGCTGCAATTATGAAACACCTGGTCATATCACATGAAAATGTACATAAATTGTGTACAATGTACAATCCTCCTGTGCCAGTTTTGTACAATTACAAGAACAGGCAGACCATTGCTGTTGCATACGGTAAAAAGCTGTAATAAATCTAAAGGGACTGTTTTAGATGTCATTTTACAGTAAAATATTGTTTAAGCAGTTATATACTGAATAAGAATAAGAACTTTTTTTTCTTGTCATACATTATGGTTTTATGTTACAGCTTAAGTTGTTAAATTAATGTTTACTGCATTCTTTTGGTGTCATGGGTGTGCACCTACTATATTATCTTAGTATTCACCGCAGCTTGTGGAAAAGCTAGTTGTGATGAGTTATTACTACCTCTGATTTATGGAGGTTGTCAGTGCATTATAACAATACAAAACAGATTTAGTACTTCAGTAGGTTGGTATATTTATATTATATCAGGTCAAGAAAAACTTTAATTTAAAAAAAAATAAAGGTACAAAAGCTGTCACTGAGATGGTACCTTTTTAAAAGGTACATTTTTGTACCTAAAGGGTCCATATTGCTACCTTAAAGGTACATATTACTTCCTAAACCAGGGGTCTCCAAACTCGGTCCAGGAGGGCCGGTGTCCTTAGCTTCGACTTGCCTCAACACACCTGCCTGGAAGTTTCTAGTATGCCTAATACGACCTTGATTAGCTGCTTAAGGTGTGTTTAATTAGAGTTGGAGCTAAACTCTGCAGGAAACTGGTCCTCCAGGATCGAGTTTGGAGACCCAACCTAAAGTGTACATACAGGTGCATCGCAATAAATTAGAATGTCGTGGAAAAGTTCTCCTCCAGGATCGAGTTTGGAGACCCAACCTAAAGTGTACATACAGGTGCATCGCAATAAATTAGAATGTCATGGAAAAGTTAATTTATTTCAGTAATTCAACTCAAATTGTGAAACTTGTGTATTAAATAAATTAAATGCACAGAGACTGAAGTAGTTTAAGTCTTTGGTGCTTTAAATTGTGATGATTTCGGTTCACATTTAACAAAAACCCACCAATTCACCAAATCTCAACAAATTAGAATACTCATAAGACCAATAAAAAAACCATTTTTAGTGAATTGTTGGCCTTCTGGGAAGTATGTTCATTTACTCTACATGTACTCAATACTTGGTAGGGGCTTTAATTACTGCCTCAATTCGGCGTGGCATGGAGGTGATCAGTTTGTGGCACTGCTGAGGTGGTATGGAAGCCCAGGTTTCTTTGACAGTGGCCTTCAGCTCATCTGCATTTTTTTGGTCTCTTGTTTCTCATTTTCCTCTTGACAATACCCCATAGATTCTCTATGGGGTTCAGGTCTGGTGAGTTTGCTGGCCAGTCAAGCACACCAACACCATGGTCATTTAACCAACTTTTGGTGCTTTTGGCAGTGTGGGCAGGTGCCAAATCCTGCTGGAAAATGAAATCAGCATATTCAAAAAGCTGGTCAGTGTGCATTGAATTTATTTAATACACGAGTTTCACAATTTGAAAACTTTTCCACGACATTATAATTTATGGAGATGCACCTGTATTAGCATCTAAAAGGTACAAAAGTGTACCTTTTAAAAAGGTACTGCCCCATTGACAACTTTTGTACCTTTTCTTTCTGCGAGTGTCAGAAAGAAAAGGTACATAAATTTTAGGGTTTTTTTTTTCCACAGTGTGGGTTGCTTTCCCTGAAAAATGTTTTAGGGCATTTCAGACCAACAACATTTGGAGCAAACAGAGTCAAGTCCAAAGAGTTTATGATTAAGCTTTGGAAGATATTAGCATCAGAAAAATCTTAAAATCTTGCTAAAATAAGAACATGTAGATTCAGACAGACCAGAAACTCCTTCAAACAAGAGTGAGTGACTGTGACTGTTGGTCCTTCATCATGGCTGTCCTCCTGCTTGTCTCAAACACAGAGGCTGCTGGATCCAGTGAAGGCACAAGGTCAAAGGTTGTTCCTCCAGACACCTTCACACACCACCAAACCTCCCTCCTTAAAGCAATTCTCCTCGCTTTCTCTCTGCTCACCATCCACTCCCTCAATAACTGCAGGTTCCACAGCACAAAGTGACAGGATGGTAAACAAAGCAGACAAACTCCCAGAATGCAAAGTGTTGCCACTAGGGGGTGCCCACTGAAATCAAGAATGCTGTAGATGTAGGGTTGACCAAACATGTTTGTGCCGGCCATTAGCCAATAAACAACAGCAAATATGACATAAAGGGCTCCGGCCAGTACAGCGTAGAAGAAGTGGGTGAGATGAACGGGTGTGGAGGACAACAACAGATCCACGGCGGTCTGGATGCTGTTGATAACATGGATGTTGATGTTGAAGGCTGTGAAGGAGTGCTGGTCAAAGGGGTGGATTATGGTCCAGTATAGAAAGGAGACAGTTAATGAAAAACAGCCCATTAGAGAATGCAGGAGCCACTGCAGACAGAGAGCAGCGGTGAGAGGGACGGGAAGAGAAAGGAGGGTCTCACATTCACTACTGACACCTAGTGGAGGAAAGGACTGCATGAAACACATGTATAGGCCTCTTTTTAAAAAAAATAAATTATTCAGCAAGGATGCAATAAATTGATCAAGTGACAGTAAAAAACATTTATAATGTTACAAAAGATTTCTATTTCAAATAAATGCTGTTCGTTCTACTCAAAGAATCCTCCACAAAACTGTGAAGAAGCACAACTGTTTTCAACATTGATAATAATCAGAAATGTTTCTTGAGCAGCAAATCAGCATATTAGAATGATTTCTGAAGGATCATGTGACACTGAAGACTGGAGTAATGATGCTGAAAATTCAGCTTTGCGTCACAGGAATAAATTACATTTTACAATATGGATAACCTGAAAACAGTTACTTTAAATTGGAATAATATTTCACAATATTACTATATTTTTGATCAAATGAATGCAGCCTTGGTGCGAAAACTAAAAATAATCTAACCAACCACAAACTTTTCAATGGCATAAAGTGCAGCAAAGGATTTTACTGCAACATCGGTTGATTAAACGTCACTAAAATAGCTCAAAACAGTGAGACCAGCTCCTGCAATATTTGAGAGTTCAAATTCAGTTCAAATTTGGACAAAAATAAAATAGATAAATAAATAAATAAAATAAGATGAATTCAAAATATATATTAATTAATATTCTAAATATATTGTAAAAATATATTTAGCAATGTATTTACATTTGAAATAAAATTACTACAACTCATTAAATTCATAAAGATTCTTGCTGGAAAACACTATTTTAAAACAATACTGATGTCTTTGTAGGCTCAGTGTGTCGTTCTTTCAAGACTCTTATAGATATATTGTAAAAATATATTTAGCAATGTATTTACATTTGAAATAAAATTACTACAACTCATTAAATTCATAAAGATTCTTGCTGGAAAACACTTTTAAAACAATACTGATGTCTTTGTAGGCTCAGTGTGTCGTTCTTTCAAGACTCTTATAATCCAATAGCATAAGTGTGATTTAGGATAGTTTATGAAGTCACTGTGTGCGATCTGTGTGGCAATCAGTGGGATTTGTGATCAGCAACACACTGCACAACAATTTTACCTCTTTTCATTCTGTGAGAGGAGCATCTGATTTCCAAGAAAGCCCAGGCCAGATTACAGAGAGAAACCACATAGTAGATAACCATAAGACAGTATGAGATATGGCTAGGAATTTAGGTGTGTTGAAGAGAAGAGCCGTGTAGATAAACCAGCTGAAGGTGTAGAGCAGCATAAAACATCTGTACAGAAGCCACAACAATGGAGGAATATCCCACTGCAAACAAAACCAGACAAGTTATGTCAATTTCATCTTTCAGTATGATGGATTTTGGAAATTGCCATTTACATTTTGACCTATATAATACACATATGCATTCAATGTCTTCAACATTATTTACATTGCTGACAGACATGACATATATATAACAAGGTTTCTAACTAGTTCAGGCCGGTCAGTTATGATCGCTAGTTGATCTGACCACCGTGAACCAGGAACAAACCATGATGCAAAACCTTTAGCTTGATTCTTTCAGCAGGGTTTCCATCATGTACACATCAAAGTATATTAACTGTACAAAATCCACAACAAAGGAGGAATATCCCACAAGCCAGGGATGAATATTAGTTCTCATTATGAATTTTGGAAACTGATACATACAGTTGCATCTCAATAAATTAGAATGTCATGGAAAAGTTCATTTATTTCAGTAATTCAACTCAAATTGTGAAACTCGTGTATTAAATAAATTCAATGCACACAGACTGAAGTAGTTTAAGTCTTTGGTTCTTTTAATTGTGATGATTTTGGCTCACATTTAACAAAAACCCACCAATTCACTATCTCAACAAATTAGAATATGGTGACATGCCAATCAGCTAATCAACTCAAAACACCTGCAAAGGTTTCCTGAGCCTTCAAAATGGCCTCTCAGTTTGGTTCACTAGGCTACACAAGCATGGGGAAGACTGCTGATCTGACAGTTGTCCACAAGACAATCATTGAGAACAAAACTAGTAGCACTGCTGATAGACGATATAACTCCTGAAGTACAGGCCAGTCATTTATGGTCATTTGCTGTTAGACCAGCAAAAACCTTTGGTCTCTTTCTTCCAGCAGGGTTTCCATCATGCATCAGTGCATGAAGCTTAGTGACTCAAACTCACCCGTGGCTGAAGAAGAAGCTCTGGTTTAGAGGTGAGAAGGTGGAGTTTGTGAACTTTGAACTCCTCCTTCCAGCTCTGTGTCCAACTAGCACCCATGTCTGTCACCAATAACCACTCCTGTCAAAAACATAATGCAAAATTGGTTAAACGCTTGTGATGCCATGTGTCTGCTTTCTTGGAAATCAGTTCACACTGGTGTAGACTACAAAAACATACCGTTTGCACATTCAGGATGCATCAAATCATATTTGAAAAGACTTTCCCTTCCAATATGAACCAGTATTTCTGGTTTGAAGTAAAGTTGTAATTATCAATAAATTCAGACCTGCCCTGTTATTTAATGTTACAATGATTGCATGCAACTCGGATACTAAATAATATGAATAATAATAATAAGAATATTAAATAATAATGTCTCTCACTAACCTTTGCAAGAATGCATCCACTGTGAACTGCTATAAAGACGCTGCATTCGCCAGAAGCATGCAGAAATCTACAGCTCCAAATGATGGTGTTCTCCTACACCTTGATATTCTGTTCAGTTGTGACCGTGATCTCGTGATCTCATGTTCACGGGTCCATAGCAGCAGGACAGACACTGCACTGCTTGTCTTGGAAACATCTAATGAAATAACTGGAGCTGCAAACCATAATCGTGAACATGTGAATCTCTCATACATACCAACAAGATTAACGCTGAGTCTCTGAGATGTGGCTAAATGTCAAAATGCCCTTACTAAAAGAACTGTGGAAGTACCATGCTACAGGTATGGCTTCAGACGGTGAGTATTAACATCATGATCATGCAATTTTGGTTGTACAGTATGTCCCTTATTTTACAACTACTGACAAGTTATGATGATGTCTAAACATATTTATTTCATATCCTAGAGAGAGTTTTGGTCTGATGTGAACAGCTGCAGATGTACAGCAGGGTCACCAAATCTGACACGACAGCATTAGAGGTCACTGAAATGTACCAGCCTATGTTTCACACAAAATGGCTTTAATGTTACCAGGGCTGGTTCTAGACATTTGGAGGCCCTAGGCAAACATGTGTGAGGCCCCCCACCTCCAATAAAAAGCACTTGAAACAAATATGATTCCTATCTTTTTTATTTACACAACTACAATTTTGAATGTTGTATATTTTTACTCACACAGAACCATTGAAATGTTTGGACATTTTCAATGTTTTTGAAAGAAGTCTCTCATGCTCATCAAGCCTGCATTTATTTGATCAGAAATACAGGGGGAAAAAATATTACAATTTAAAATAATGGTGCTTTTTTGATTATTAAAAAGTTGCTTTTATTTCATGGGGGTATTCCAAAAAAAGCAGGTTATGTGACATACCCGGGTATGTCTGAGGATAAGCGAGCGGATAACCTCAGCTTTCGGTTCCAAAATTGGAGGTTACTTTCAGGGTAAGCAACCAACCATAGTAACTTGCTCTCTGAAGATAACCTGCTGGTTAGACCTGCTGAGCAGGTTATGTTCCAGGGTTAGTTCACTTCAGCGCTATCAGCGCACGTGTGATCTAGGCCTGTGTTTCCCAACCGGGGTGCCGTCTGTCGAGAGCAGGGGTGCCATGTAAAAAATCATTTTTTAAATATTTTTTAATTGCTAAAATGTTCAAAAAAGCATATATTATATAATATCCATTTCTGATGTCGCCAATAATTGGTAAAAAAAAAAAAGTTAAATATTTTTTAAGTTAAGTAGTTACCCTACTGTTAGACCTACCTGAAAAACTAAAAAGTAATTTATTTAATTCAAAGGCCTGTCGTTATTTTTTATTTGTGCTATCATTATTAATTTCTTTATTTGTTCTTATTTTATTACTGCCTGCTTACTTGTCATTTTTTATTCCATTTAAAGTTTAAAATCAAGCTATCTCGTGCTACTGCACCAAAATTACCCCACTGTAAAATAAAAAAAACACTGAGTGAGCAAAAATGTGTGAGATAGCTAGTTATAATGGTAATTAAATAATGTTTACATATGTATAAAAGCCTACATTAAAATCTGTCATATAAATAGGTATTTTCATTAGAAATTAGCCTACTGATTGCCACCATTTTTTATAATATTAAAAATATCTGTATGACATTATATTCTGCAGTTCTTCCCTGCTGTACCCAATATCTATACTTTTCAAATGATCATATCGAAGTTAGAAATTCAAATATTGTGACAAAATTAATTTTGTAGGGTGCCACAAGTTTGTTAAAATTTCCAAAGGGTGCCGCAACAAAAAAAAAGGTTGAGAAACACTGATGACAGACAGCGCACAACATTATATAATATAGCCTATTTTATATACTGTATATATATATATATATATAAATGTTAATGATGAAACGCTAATTTAAGTAATAAAGAAGGTAATATATTATTCTAATATGCTGATTATATTTATTTCATTGGCATATATAAAACTATCTGTATAAATTATAAAACACTATGACAAGGTAATGTTTAATTTATTATATTAGTTACATTTTAGATTATCTCACACACGGATCAACATTTTCTATAATGTCTAAATTCTAAATCAAAATACATATCTGATATGACTTAATATATAATTAGCATCAAACAAACAATATAATTCATATTCTCAAGGATTAAAGATTAAACGGAAAAAAAATTAAAATGTTTGCACAACCATCAGTTAGGTGGCGATATGCACTAAATATGTAAACGACCGCTGAACAAACGAAGAAAGAAATAAACAGCATGGCACACTTTTTCTTAGCATCCATTTCCATAGTGACTCTGTTGAGAATGTCTCGAGTCTTAACCAGACTATAAAAACGTGACGTCACCCGTAGCTTCTTTTGACCTCACTGATTGGAGCGTTTTTGAAGCTGCTGCCACCGATCTGGACGAGCTCACAGAGACTGTAACATCTTATATCAGTTTCTGTGAAGATATGTGCATTCCTACCAGGACTCATTTAACTTACAACAACGACAAACCATGGTTCACTGCAAAACTCAGACAGCTCCGTCAGGCCAAAGAAGATGCTCACAAGAAGGGGGATAATGTCTTGTATAAACAGGCTAAATACACACTGGAAAAGGAGATCAGAGTGGCAAAGAGGAATTATTCTGAAAAAATAAAGATTAAATTCTCTTCCAGTGACTCAGCATCAGTGTGGAAAAGTCTAAAAGAAATCACCAACTACAAGACACCATCCCCCAGCA